AACTGCCTTTAACAGTCAGAACTAACTGTTCTCTATTTCGGCATCTTACCCAAAAATCGAATATGTTCTATTCAATATAACATCTGAATATTGCCAAATTTTATACACTACAGGACATTTCTTCTAGAAGCTAGCAAGACACGGTGGAAAAAAAGCCATGGTGACTTGTTATAACCTGTATTTTTCCCTTTCAGCGAGAGTAAATACAGTGGTAGAGCAGAATTACCAAACTTTGAAATCAGAGTTGAAACCCTAACTCTATAACATGAGGGAAGCCCTACCACTGACACAATAATAGTACCAAATTCACAGGGAACACTGGTGTAAGGACTCAATCAGTTAATATGTACAAAGTGATTAGAACACATGGTTAAGCCTTCAACAAACATTAACTTTACTAATTATTCCATTACAATCACCTGGCTCAAAGTGACAATCACATATTTGTGCAAACATTCTAACAAATCCCAACTCAAGATTATCCTGCTTACCTTTTGCCAACTCTCATACATAAATGCTACTATTCCAAAAATAAATAAATAAAATTAAAATAACTAAATAAAAATTAAATTAAATTAAATACAACCCTAACAGTCCATTCTGCTTCTCAGGAGCTCCTACGAAGTATGGCACAGATACAATTGAAAGCAGCTATAGATTTAATTTAAATTTATAACATGTATATCTCTTCAATGTAAAGGTTTAAAAAAAAAAAAAAAGGTTACTTGAAATCTATGGAAACAGTGTTACCAGCTATATACATCTCTAAATAAAGACCTGAGAACCACAGATGATAATATTACTTTAGCATTATCTAATTCGTTGGTGTTTCTTTTGTACCCCACAGCAATGTTAAATAGCAGTCAAATCATTGGATTAAAGTAACATTTGGCAGAGAATTTAGCAGAGCATCTGACTTGATTGTTTCATCAGCATTAACAGACTATGGCACACAGGTAACCTGGCCTAACAGCCATCTATGAGTGCACTCTGGAGTCTGAAGACACCTGGGATCCAACTCCAACTCTGTCACTTGCTAGCTGCAGGACCTTGGGAACCTAAAAAGCCTATTTCCCATTCCAGAAAACAGCAATAATTTTACCTAACTTTTAGGATTGTTTTGACAAATAAAAGAATATACACGAAGCACTTAAAACAACACTAGTACTGAAATATTTAAGGGGAAGTGTACCGATGTTTTCAATTTACTTTGAAATGCATCAAAAAAATGGATTGAGTACATCCATTAAAATGCACATTCAAATATGGTTAAAATGATAAATTTTATGTTATGTGTATTTTACCACAATCTTTTTTAAATAAAAAAATAAAATAAAAATTTTCAATATGGATTGAAAAATGGACAAATATGTGATAAAGCTAGTAAAATGTCAAATGTAGAATCTAAGTGTAGGTATATGAATGCTCATTTTCAACTTCTGTTTTTGAAATTTTTTACAATAAAATATTAAGAGAAAAAACAATGCTGTCATCTAGTAGCTTGCTTTTATTATCTACTAGACAAAAATAATAGCCAGCAAATATTCAGATATTCAGCTCCTTTTTTATGGCAGAATTTTCAAAAGCACCTTTTTGTCAGCCATCTATCCTTTTATTATAGCCATTCTGAAACTAAAAGTGGTTTATTTGAAACTTCTTACCGTGTGTGTGTGTGTGTGTGTGTGTGTGTGTGTGTGTGTGTGTGTGAGAGAGAGAGATTTCAAGTTACATTATTCTAAGGAACTAACTGCCAAGTATTTAATCTTTCTGAAAAAAATACAGAAACCAAGTCAACAGGTATCTGTGATAGACGATTGATAATTTGACCAAACAAAACAATGGAAAAGCAAAGGTCGGAACAATTTGTTCCTAACTTTTCCAGTAGCTGCTAAAGCCAGGAAATTCATTAACAAGAAGTGCTACCAGCACTTTTAACAGGTACCTAATGTACAGGAACACAATGCATACAAGTATATACAACTATGTCAGCCACTTTAAAATGATATTCAATTCTTCCTCTAGTTTTTTTCACCATTCCAACTGGTAGTTCAGATTTTAACATGTTTAGTGGTACAACCGGAACTCAGATATCATACAGTATAAAAATTTTAATTTCACACCACCCACTGGGATGGGTACTATCAAAAATGCAGAAAATAACATGTTGCTGAGGACGTGGAAAAATTGGAACCCTTACGTACTGTTGGTGGGAACATAAAATGGTACAGCCACTGTGGAAAACAGAATGGCAGTTCCTCAAAAAATTAAAATAGAATTACCATATATATGATCTAACAATCCCACTTCTGGGTATATATATCCAAAAGAATTGGAAGCAGGGTCTCTAAAAAGCTACGCGTGAACCATGTCCACTGCAGCGTTATTCACAATAGCTAAAATATACAAGTAACCCATGTGTCCATCGACAGATGAAATGCATGAGAAAATGTGATATATACATACAATGGAACATTACTCAGCCTTGAAAGGGAAGAAAATCCTGTCGCGTGCTACAATATGGATGAACCTTAAAGACTATGTTAAGTGAAACAAAGCTAGCCACAAAATGACAAATCCTGTATGATTCCACTTACACGAGATACCCAGGATAGCCAAAATCATAGACACAAGTAGAATGGTGGGTGCCAGGGGCTGGGAGCAGAGGGGAATAGGGAGTTAGGATTTAATGGATACAGAGTTTCAGTTTTGCAAGATGAAGAGTTCTGGAGATGGATCATAGTGATGGCTGCACAACAATATGGACTGTACCCTCAAAAATGGTGATGACGGTAAAATTTATGTTATATGTATTTTACCACAATAACAAAAAATAGAAGGAAAAAAATTAAGAGAACTGATCTCCCCAGAAGGCCTGGTGGTATTCCAGACAGACAAACAATTAACACTCTATCAGCCCAAGTCTCTCTCTTAACCGCACACCATGAGACCTTGTCTAGTCAGCCGCTCCATCCTGCTCAGGGTCACCCCAATTGTTTATTTCAGCTTCAAAATGAGCCAACATTACTCCTGCTACACCAGTTTTGTGTTAAAACAGCAAGGAACTTCATCTCTCCGAATCCCTCCCTGCCTCCTCTTTAAAACAGGGATAATTCCTACCTGTCTCATAAGGTTGTTATAAGGGCAAAAGTGAGATCATGCACATAAATGTACCTTTAAACTGCCAAGCACCAAAGAAACAGAAATTATGTTTATAACTACTTTCACATGGAAAATTCAGAAGGGGCTGTAACAGCAGCAACTTCACAAAGCTTGGGACACCTTGCCCATGCTTCATTCCATTTAAAACTCACATCATTCCTAAATAACACCTTTCTTGTTTTTGTCATAAACTGAGGGCGACATGAAGGAAACAAACCACCACCACCACCAAAAAAAAAAAAAAAAAAAACCTCAACCTTAAGCATTTCATCTAACCACCCCCAACACAATCAGAAAAATTCTCTTACACGTCCTAGGAAAACTGAATTTTTATGACCCCATCGAGGGCCGGAGACGCCCTGGGACTACACTTCCCACAAAGCATCGAGGCCAACCCGGGAGGAGGGCGGGGCGGCTTGAGATTGAGGGTGACCACCGATCTCCCCGAAGGTGGGTCGTCGTTCCCTGGAAAATTGCAACGTTTCAGGTCCAGTGTGCACTGGCTCTCCTTTCTGAAAGTACCGTCACCCCGTGGCTTCGCCTGCGGCCAGCGCCGCGACCCTCTCTGCCCTCCTGTCCTTCCTGGTCCACCTGAGGGTCAACGCCTATTTTTGACCTTTCCGCTGATTTTTTTTTTGTGGTGTCACAGAAAGGCACCTTCTCCCCCTCCCCGAAAGCTCCATTTCTGTAACTCGCCCAACAGTTGGGACTCGCGGCCCCAGCGGGGACAGACGGGATGGGTAGACACTGCCCGCCACCCTGGGGTTCGGGCAAGTCCGCCGGCCCGGGCACCGCGGGCAGGGGGCTGGGCTCCCCCTACCCCTGCGCCGGGCGGATCGCGGGCGGAGGTGGCTCCGCCCGGGGCTCCGGTTTCAATTTCGCAACGTGACGGTGCAAACCTGAGGCCTACAAGCAACGGCGGTGGCGTCCGG